TAGTAATTATAAATATTAATAATTGCATATTAATCTTAAAAATTTCATTTTTTTCAATTTAATAATGTCAATTTCAAACTTGCAAGTTGAACTATAAGTTATGGTAACAAATTCATTTTTTAGCTTCGATGCGAAGCTGAGAAGGTATTTTTCATTAAAACTTTCACTTTAAAAGACAATAAAAAATAGGTTCAAAATGATTACCTTTAACATATTAAAAATCAAAATCAGTATTAATTTAATACAATTTTTTTTGTTCTTAATTATTTTTTTTTATATGTAAATACTTATTTTTTAATAATAAGTAATAATATTAAAACTTAGAAGTAATAGAAAAAGTTTAATTGCACATTTGAAAACATCACGAAAAGTTTATTTAGAAAAGTATATTTTTTTTCTGATGAAAGTTCCTTTTGTTTAGTGTATTTATTCATAAGTAACAAAATTTTTTTATTAAAAAGTATTGCATAAATTCCTTTAAATTTGTATACGCATTAAAAGTATATGAATATACAACTCCTTTTTATTTTTATAATATCTCCGTAAAAATTACAATATTATATTATTGAATACCACTTTCATACTCAATTTAATTACTGTAATTATTATGTATTCATATATTATAGTTATAAATCGGGGTAAAATTAAGGGAATAAGTGTTATTGTTGTTTTTGAAATAATCTACCAATTTCATTTTTTTCTATTTAATAATATTTATTTCAAACTTGCAAGTTGAGTTAAAAGTTATGGTAATAAATTCATTTTTTTTTTATTAAAACTTTCACTTTAAAGAACAAAAAGAAGTAGGTTCAAAATGATTACTTTTAACATATTAAAAATCAATAATAATTTGAAAATAATTAATTATAAAAATTATATAATATATAATTAAAATAATTACTAATCTGGATATAATTAAGGAAATAGGAGTTGATGTTGGGTTGGGTTGGTTACATTTTTAACTTTATAATGCTATAACTCATTGAAAAGTGTACGAATCAACACAATTTTTTTATGAGAAATAATATTTTTTAATAATCCCTTTTTCATTCGACATACTTTATCTTAATCAGGGTATTAATAAGAAACTAGCAGATAATGTAGCTTTTGTAATTATCCACCAATTTCTTAGAATTAAACACTATCTACTGATTTGCATCGAAGCGTTTCTTATGATAGTGATTTTAATCACTGTCAGATTAAATCTATACTGGACCCAACTATGCAACATCCCCACTATGCCGCGACCCCACTGTGCTGGGTTTTTTTTTTTTTGTGTGTCTGTTACCACTTATTCTCAGCTCTCACCGAAGCGCTTTCTTTCAACGATACGTCAAAAGATCACAAAACGTATTTAGTCGAAGACATTACCCTCAATAATTGAAAAAATGTCTCTCGTTCCCCGTAAATGAGGAAAATATCCAAAAAAATTACAAATTTAAAAATCGTAAATTTTCGAACTTTTTTCGTTTTCTTTTACTTAAAACTGCCATAACTTTTTTAAAAATGATCAATTTAATATAATTTTTTTTTTATAGATGCATGATGTCTTTATCTATCATTTGGTATATTTTTTTTATAAATATGACCCTTTACCTGCCCACAGGGGGAATTTAAAATGACAACTTTTTCAACTTAACTTTTGAAAGTGTTCCGGAAGGTCTGACACTTATATATATCTTAAATTAAAGCTAATGTAATATACTTTATTATGGAAAAAAAATTTTATGACTATTTTGTTTTCACGGTGAAAATAGTTACCAAATACTATTTTTGTGTTAAAATTCTCGATTTTATCTTTTTCATTATTAACTTTATAATGCTATTACTTATTGAAAAGTGTATGGATCAATACAATTTTATTATGAGAAATAATATTTATATTTCTCTTTCATTCGACATACTTATTTTAAATAACACCATTTCCCTTTATATATTTATATATTAATAGTTTGATCAAGTTTAAATTAAAATAAGATTCATATCATTAGCCCCCCCTCGATTTTTTTCATGCCATCACCACCTATATTAGTCTACTAATTTAAGTTATAATTGTTATTAATTATTGGTGAAATAGGAATACCAATAGTCTTATCGTGCATCACGACAATGGATTTCCATGGAAATGAATTTGATGTCCTCAAATCTAAAATAAGTTGTGATAACTCATTATGACTTGACAACAAAGGAATAGTTATAGCTTCATTGGCTGGTAGCCTTGGACAATCTGTATCTAAAAAAAATCATTTTAAGAAAAATTATTTAAGTAGAATCTATAAAAATAGTATCTACAATTTAGATATCATTTTTAATCTATTTTTAGGTTTAATAAAAATTATCAAAGCTGGAATAACAAAAAATACGCTCCCAAGTAATTCGTAGATTTTTTTTTTTATAATACTTTAACACAAAATATTTTTTTCCGTATTCTATTAAGTTTAATATAAACAGTAAATATTATTTTGAATATTTTAACGTATTCGAAAGTTTCATTGTAAAATAAAATTGCAGTTAAACTTAAATTATTATATTTTAAATAAAATATATAAACTTTAAAAAACATATATACTAGAATTGAAACATCACTGTTATAATAATGTTTGATAGATAAAATAGAAAATTGTAATAGCTATTTTATATTATTTAAAATTTTCTTTAAAAATTTGTAATTTTGGACTCTAATACGACTAGTAAACCAAACATTTTTATAATTAACTAAGGTTAGGTGAAACTGAAAGTTCTTTACACTCTACTAACCAGTTATTGATATGTATAAACATTCATTGAGTCCTTCAAATTCAGCTTGTCGATATAAATTCCATACATCATCACAGTATGAAACTATGAATACTGACACTACATCTATATATTTCAGAAAATAATTTGAGGTGAATAAAGTATTTTTTTCATAATTAATTGCAAACAAATTAAGAATATACAGTATGATTCTTTTAACGCTAATCATTCGATTTTTCTAAAACTAATAATTTTGTTAAGAAAATTATTTTTGGTATTTCTTTAGTTTCATACATTTCTTGATTTATCATTTATTAATTACTTTTTTAATTCATCCTTATACTTTTTAAAAGTGTCATTTTTATATTTTTAAACAGAAAATTACATATAATAATTAGTATAACAATATGATAATAAAAATATCATACTAGTTAAATACTACTTAAATAGCTTAAAAAAACTAAAAAGTGGTCTAATTAATTCTTATATGAAGTATAAATTTTAATTTAAATAGTTAAAAAAAAAATTTGTATGTATAATTTATCAATTGATAAAAATTATTTTAAATAAGAATACAAAATAATTTTATATTGAGTATTTAGAGCCTTAGTTGAAAGTTATATACGCGGTTGAAAAAAAATGTGAAATGAAAAATGATCAAGATTTATGGTTGCTGAAATATATAATATATTGTTTCACAAGGTAAAAAAAAATTGTCTTATGATTTGAATTTTTATTTTTTTTAAATTTTATCTTTAGTTCAAATTTCTGATAAACATTTGTTTCTAATATTCTCTGAAATTTATGAGAAAATAAAGAGAAACTATGTGCGTATAATTAACTCATGTATGTGAGTGATATACATATAAATACATCACTCATTTAATAACTAAAATAATCATGATAGTTATCTCTGCTTGATCTAATAAAAATTTGGAGAGTTTGCTGTTATTTATTATTTAAATATATATTTATTTGTGTTTATCAAGTTGTTGCCTAATCATTTGTTTATGTTTGTATATTTATATGCATGTATATTTGTTGTTTATAATATAATATTATACATGTAAGAGCCGATTTGTGTTAATTATGTCAAAATAAATAAATTACCTCTTGAGAGTTTAATATTTGTTTTGGTATGTAGTTCAACAGACACGCCAGCTTGTTTAAAAATATCTTGCTTTAACTTTTGTACATGTGTATTAACTGTTTCCCAGATTTTATTCTTGGTACTAATCGCAAACTTTGGATTGATAATTATTGCTATATCAGTAAATAATATGCGTTATAGAAATTCAGTGACGCAGATATAATTTCAAAAACGGGTGGTCATAGAATAAAAACCTACAAGATCCCATATTTTGGAATTTTTTTTTGCTCATTACTTTATTTTAGAAATTAATATTGCTGTCAATGGGGGGCCATTGTCCCTTTGCTCCCTTAACTACGCTACTGTAGAAATTATTAAATTAAAATGTTAGAAAATAACTATCATAAGTTCCATATTTTTAAATGAAACTTGTGATAGTTTAAATTAAAATAAAATTATAATAGTTAAAAAGTAATTCAATATTTTCATGATCCATAAAACTATGTATAATGACGGATTGCTTAGATTTATTTTGGGGACAATTATTAGTTTTATTCATTGAATATTATAAATTGGTTCGTCTTTATAGTATGTCCACTTTTATGATTAAACTTATCAAATCCCGTTAGAAATACACGATTTAAATATAAAAAATACAAAAGTTTTTTTTTCTTTGTTTACTTGATTTAACAACATTTTAATTTTACTAAATAACAAATAATATATTTTTGGAAAGTTATATTGTATTTACTTACCGATTGTGTCATTTTTCCTTGGCCCTGATTCAAAATTATAACCGTTCTGAGAACGGCAAATAGTAATTAATAAAAGATGTATCAAAATAGTAGTAAAGACTGTTGTAGATTTCATGGTTGCTATTTTGAAAACTAAAAGGGTTGTTGGAACTCAACGGCATGATTATTAATGTAATCGAATATTAAAGGAATTAAGGACACCTGTCATATTTTTTGTTTTTTATCGTTGAACAATTCGTTATTGTGAAATGACAAAAATTAAGTAATGGGTAATAACAAAATTTTATAAGAAAAGTAAGTAATTTTATAAGTAAAAAGTATAAATGAAACCATGTTATGGATATAGGGATTTAAAAACGTATGGCTTTGGGGTCGCGAACTGATCACGCGAGTCTTCGGACAGAGTCGGATTTCGTTAACCCCGACAAGAATCTAGGCCACTCTTTAATAAATAAATTAATAACTTATATGTAGACTGGTAGACGGCGAATTAAAAAAAGTAGGCGGACAAAAAAACACCAAATAATTATAAAATGAAAATAGAATTAAATTTTATTTGTATTTCAATTTTAATATTCAACGGATTTAAAGAATGATGGCAGTTTTATGAAATTCCTTATAAATATATTAAGTAAATTAATTTGTAAATTATATCACGATATGATCGAATAATGTAATTATCAAGGTTGTTACGTTTTAAACATGAAGTATTAGAATACTAAAAATTTAAACATTTACATTGATCTTATGGGATGTTTTAAACTGTTTACAAATGCTTTAAACACGTTTTCAATAATACTGGTAATATTTGAATTGCACCATTGATCCTTAGTAATATCAAAGAGTTGAAAAATATTAATTTTACTTTTAGAAATTAAAAAAATTCTACGACATAGCGTTAACCTAGGTGCAAAAGAGTATTAAATTTTTTTTCCATAATAAAGTATATTACATTAGCTTTAATTAAAGATATATATAAAAGTGTCAGACTTTCCGGAACACTTTCAAAATTTAAGTTGAAAAAGTAAATTTTTTCTGAAAAAGTTGTTATTTTGAATCCCCCCCTGTAGGCAGGTAAAAAGTCAGATTTATAAAAAAATTATACCAAATGATAGTTAAAGAGATCATGCATCCATAAAAAGAAGAATTATATTGATCCATACATCTTTCAAAAAGTTATAGCATTTTAAAGTTAAAAATATAAAAAAGAATTTTTTTACAAAAATCGTATTTTTTTTATCAACTTTAATGTCTGTTTTTACCATAAAGATAAAATAAAGTCCAACATTTTTTTTTACCATAATAAATTATATTACATTAGCTTTAATTTAATATATATATAAAAGTGTCAGACTTTCCGGAACCCTTTCAAAAGTTAAGTTGAAAAAGTTCTACTTTCTACATGCATTTTTTAGATTTAAACCGCCCTTGTATATAGGGAAATAGTCCGATTTAAAAAAATAGTATGTTGAATGAAAGATGTACATAAATACTACTTCTCATGAAAAAATTGTATTGATCCATACATTTTTCAAAAAGTTATACAATAATATAGTTAAAAATGTAAAATACAAAATCGAAAATTTTCAGACAAAAATAGCATTCGGTAGCCATTTTCAACGTGAAGATAAAATAAAGTTCGAAATTTTTTTTTTTCATAATAAAGTATATTATATTAGCTTTAATTTAAGATATATATAAAAGTGTCAGACTTTCCGGAACATTTTCAAAAGTCAAGTTGAAAAAATTAATTTATTGTGAAAAAGTCGTCATTTTAAATCCCCCCCTGTGGGCAGTTAAAGGGTCAGATATAAAAAAAAAATATACCAAATAAAAAATAATGATGTCATGCATCTATATAAAAAAAAAAATTATATTTATTTGGTTATTTTTAAAAAAGTTATGGCACTTTAAAGTAAAAAAATTGAAAAAATTTCGAAAATTAGCGATTTTTAAATTTGTAATTTTTTTGGAGGTTTCCCCCTTTTACGGGGAACGAGGGAATTTTTTTCAATTTTTGAGGGTATTGTCTTCAACTAGATACGATTTGTGATCTTTTGACGTATAATTGAAAGAAATCGGTTCGGTGAGAGCTGAGAAAAAGTGGTAACAGACACAAAAAAA